TAAAAAAAAAAAAAAAAAAAAAAAAAAAAAAAAAAAAAAAAAAAATGGAAATAAGAATGAAAAAAAAAGAGAAAAAAAAGTAAAAGAAAAAGAAAAAGTAATAAATTTATAATTAAAAATAAAATTATTAAAAGATTTTTATTTAAAATAATATGAAAATTTTCATACAAATATATATAAAAAAAAAAAAAAAAAAAAAATTATGTACTAATAAAAAAAACAAAGATGATTTTCTTTTTTATATATATAAAAAATATCAAATTTTCACGAATACTTGAAAAGTATAATATATATAACTAAAAGGAGAGTAAATATATATTTTTTAATGATATAAAGTTATTGTATTATTCTTATTGGATCTCTAAATTTCCAATGCAAAGCATTTATTTCTCTTTCCAGCTTATCCGTAAATAAAAAATTGTCTGTTAATGAATATAAATTTTCTCTTAACTGTAAAAAATCAGAAATTCCAATAATAGTAGAAGTAATAAATGATCTTGTATAAACCCATTTTAATGCAGCTACTGTTAAATTAGGAAAATAATATTTCTGACTTAAATAATATAATTCTCTAATAATATATGTAGCTAAAGACCCCCTTAATCTTTTCATATAAGAAGGAAACTTTTGCATTCTTCCCTTGGTAGTATAATCGGTATATTCCAAATATTTCCCCGTTAAAATACCAGCACATAATGGAGAATATGCTAAAATAGATATATTAGTATTTTGTGGTCTTGAAATTTCTAAAAATCCTTTTTCTACATCATTTCGACATAATAAATTATATTCTAATTGTATAGATACAGGTGGAGATATATGCAAATTTTTACATAATTCATAAAATTTTAATAAACCAAAAGGAGTTTCATTACTCAATCCCCATTCTCTTATTTTTCCTTTTTTTTTTAATTCATCTATTGCCTGCAATTGTTCTATAAATGGAACAAAATCATCATAATATTTATTATAATCAAATAATACATCACTATAATCTCCCGAAGATTGATTTGGGTAATATCTATCAGGCCAATGCAATTGTAATAAATCAATATAATTAGTTTTTAATCTTTTTAAACTATCATCTACACTGGATATTATATTTTCTTTTGTTAATGTTATAAGATTATTATCATCATTATATTTTTCAATCTCCTCTAGTTTGTTTATCATTTCATAATCTTTTTTTAAATATAATTCTTCCTTCTTTTTTAATTTATATAATTTCTCAGGACCATTACTATTAAAATTATTCTCTCCATTGGATGATAGCAAAGATTGCTCACTTTTTTTTTTTATCTCTTCCTCTCTTTTTTTTTCCTCCAATTTTTTTGTCTTATATTTTTTAAGCCATGGAATTTTGTTAGTTCTACCACATATTTTAGTACTTATAACAAATTTATGTCTGTTTGCTTTTCCTTTGGATTCTAACCAATTTCCTAATATTTCTTCTGATAAACCATACAAATTCTCATTAACAGGTAAGGGATATATTTCTGCTGTATCAAAAAAATTTACTTGGAATTCCTCATATGCATAATCAAATAATTCATGTGCTAATTTTTCATTTACATAATTACCAAAATTCATTGTACCTATGCATATTTCAGAGACTGCTAAATTACTATTACCCAAATAATAATATCTCATATCTGGTTTATCATTATTATTTTTTTTAACACAATACAATTGACTATATTTTTGATGTTCAATTAAATTACCATAAGGATATTTAACAAATCTCCACGATTCTAAACCGATTGGTTCCTTACTATATCCATCAGTCAGAACATCACTTAACATTGGTTGTCTAAATATTTTGTTATCTAATTCTTTTTTAGGTATAATAATTTCTTTACCATAAAATCTTTTGTCTTTTTCTAATTCAGATTTATATGGTGGTTTTTCATGTATAGTATTTCGAAACATTTTATAAAAATTTCTTCTTTTATATTTCCAATAATAATCTCTTTCTTTATCATAATAGGTTAATATATAATCGTATGTAGGATTATCAAAATCAGCTTTTATTAATTTTATATTTTTATTTTCTTCATAATCTAATGGGAACATTATCCATTCATTATCTTTAATCCCTTGATTTTTTATATCAAAACTTTCTTCAAAATTTTCTTTTGCTTTTTTTAATTCCTCTTCATTCCATAGTTTTTTTATTTTTTCATAATTTTCTTCATCTACTATATATATACCCTCTTCTAAGTTATATATTCTATATTCAATATCTACTCCTCTAATATTTATTTTTTTTAATTCCATATCTTCTACATATTTATATGTTACTTCATCATTTGGGTTCATGTTTTTCTTTATTTGGTCAATGAAATCTTTATCGTTTTTTATTAAATTATTCTTCTCATATTCTTCACTAAGATTCTTATCTTTATTAATTGAATTATATGTATCATTATAATCTTCATCTTTTTTTGTATATATTAATGTTTTAATTTTTCTCATAATACTATATTTTTTATTAATAACACTACTTTTTATAAAATATTTTATTTTTTTCTTTTTTTTAAGTTTTTTATCATTTTTACATACAAACGTAAATTTTTTTCTTCCATAGTTCAATTTATATAATTTTAATATTTTTTTGTTATCTGTATTGTTAATATAAAGAATATTTTTAAGGGAAATCAAATTAAAATTTTTACAATTAATTTCAATAAAAAAAAAAAACAATAATAAGAATAATATATCCATTTTATGGATTTCTTGTTTATAGAATACTTAGTTATTTCTTTAAATTACCAATATATGTTTTTTATATTTTTTTTCATCTTTTTTTAATTTTCTTTTTACAACATAGAAATAAATATAAAAGTATTTGCATTTATATAGTTATCCTTTTTTGTTAATTCTTATATTTTATTTTACACATTTTAATATAAAAATTGAAATTATTCGATTTTTTATAATATTGAAAAAAAAAAATAAAAAAAATATGAATACATAATTTAACTTAAATTTATAACTAAGAAAATTTTACTATATTATTTTTACTGTTGAAAATTAAGATTGCATCTATTTTTCTTCTGAATTTACAAATAAATTCAATCTCTTATAACAATTTAAAAATAATCATAAATATACATAATTATACTAAAAAATTTGTTTCATTAAATACTAAAACCAACTATTAAATAATTTTCCGCTTTTTAACTGTATCAATTTTAAAATAAATTTGATTTTTTCATTAGGAACAATTTTATTTAAATTATTTTAATGTTCATTTTTTTTTTTTTATTTTTAATAAAAAAAAAAAAAAAGAAAAGACTATTTTTTTTTTTTTCAACTGAAAAAATTTTATTCCAAAAGATATAAATAATTAAAATTAAACAATATTCAAAAAAAAAAAAAAAAAAAAATAA